AGCACAGGACTCCCTTTAGTTTTTTCACCAACATCTTCCTTACAAACCCTTCCTTCCGATTGTAAACCTGAATGGACGACTATCTTCTTTTCCTTTAAGAAGCACTGTTGGTTTTAAAAAGTCATTGGTTGTGTATCACTCAATGGGGAATAACTGAGCTGAGATGCCTTCAGTGAAGGATATGCACTTCATTCTACAATAATTAAACCAACAGCAGCAAACTGTTGAAAGAAAATATTGTTTCTTACCTGTGACAACAATCTTGAAGGTCAGTTTCTGGCCCGCAGCCTCACAGGTGTACTCTCCAGCATCTTTCTTCTCCACCTGCTCCACAACTAGATGCCGGGATTTGCGCTCAGACTCCACCTTGAATTTCTTGCTGGAGTTGATCAGTTTCCCGTCCTTGTACCATTTCACTTCAGTCTTGGCCTGGGCCACCTCACAGCTCAGGGTGGCGTTCTCTGTCAGGACGGCCTTCACCTCCTTCTGCACCTTCTCCTTGTTTGCAAACACCTCTTCCATCTCTGCAGGGGAAAAGGAATTACAAGGGCTTAATCTCCCTCACTGATGCGATGCCACCCAGAGAACAGAGAAGGGAAGGCAGGGAGAAGCTGACAGTTCTGTTTCCTTAGGCTGCTTTCTGCAAGTCTCCACCACATTGCCAGACCCTGAACGATATAACTACAAGCACAATTTCAACCTTAACTATGGAGCCTGTAGGGCGTCTCCTTCATAATAAACCAACCCGAACCCCCAGATTCAAACTCTCATCAGTGCTCTGGAGAGTGACCTCAGATCCAGATCTCAATTTATCGGCACAAGACTTCCTTTAGGTTTTTCACCAACATCTTCCTTACAAACCTTTCCTTCCCCTTAGAAATCTAAATGGACGCCAATCTTCTTTCCCTTTAAGCAGCTCTGTTAGTTTTTAGAAGTAAATGACTGTGTATCGCTCATAAGGAGAGGGGCATGAATCAGCATTCATGTCACACTCCCTGTCAGTACCTGGCCCAAGCTGGGGAAGCTAATGATCCAACCAGAGGACCAAATTCGGTTATGAACCCTGGTCACATGCCACATGGGGCATGTTGTGCATACGCTAAGAAGAAGACTCATAAGGGAATAGCACGGTTTGATTTACCTGTGCCCTGTCCCTTTAAGAATGGAAGGTCTGCAGATGGGTTTTCAGGTGATGATGGCGCTGGTGCAGCAGCAGACTTGTGTGTTCTCTGAAAGGACTCAGCAGCAATGGGGCTTGTGCAAGTTGTGTTGTTTTTGGATACCCAGCTTAATGAAAATCCAGATTTAAAACTGTCCCTGAGACTGGCTCACAAAAGGTTCCTCTCCCAAGCCAGGGACAGCTTCAAATCTGGGGTTTTATTAAACACAGAATCCAAAGACAAACAAACCCAGCTTGCACAAGGCTGACTGCCGCTCAGTCCTTTCACACCAAATTTGACGGCTGCAATCAGAGCTGTCCCCTTTGAACACCTGGGCAGACCATCAATCTTTAAAGGGACAGGGCACCGGTGAATCAAACCCTGACATGTCCTTAGGAGTGAAACAGTGGCATTAAGGAGAAGCCAGGGTGGCTCGGATGGATGCCAAACAGACATTCAGAATCCCAACCTTGTCTGGGAAATGTTATGCTGCGGCTGCAAAACACCCACCGACTAGGAAGATTCAGGCGCCTACCCATTTTACCTACTTACTCTGTACATGTATTCACAATATTGTGGCAAAATCCAAAAGCCCTCTGGACTCTGAACCGAGGTGCCAGCAGAGCAGGAAATTCAGCTTACTCTACAATGCTTTAATCAACAATGGCAGCAAATCAGCCCTTCAGTTGAAAGAAAATACTCTCTCCTACCAGTGACGATAACCTTGAAGGTCAGTTTCTGGCCTGCGGCCTCACAGGTGTACTCTCCAGTGTCTTTCTTCTCCACCTGCTCCACGACCAGACGCCGGGATTTGCCCTC